TGTCAAAGTAAAGCCCAATCATCAAGAAAATCAATAGGCTGAATTTGGGCTGGGCTGGCTTACAATTTAATGGCCCAGACGGATTTTCAAGGAGGTTGGATCTTAGGTGGCAGAAGATAAGATTGGATCTGGTAGTTTGAGTTTGATTTAAAATGGAAAATTGAGGATTTTTAGGTAGTTATCTTTAAGGTTGTTGGAGATAAGGTTAAATAAAAATCGAATAACTATTAAATAACTGCCAGACCTGCAATCCCATTACTAGATCATGGAGGAACAGTACCGAAGATCATGGAGAAGATCATGGAGGAGGTTACCAGCATCAAAGGGAACAAAAACAGAGAGAAGAGAACAGTTCAAGGCCTGCCCAGCACACACACAGACTGCCCAGAGCATGTTTTTCAGCTTTCAGACTACATTTTCCAGATTTCAGTAATAGTTTCCAGATTTTCCAGATTTCCCAGATTTTCCAGATTAGTTCACAGCCTTAGCCTAGGTTTGTTCATCATATTTTCTTCTGCAAATTCCAATTTAGATTAGTTTTTAAACATTTGGAAGCAACTTAGCCTTCAAAACAGGTCTGCCCTTTTGATCCGGTTAGTTCTTCTTCCTTTTATGGATTTAGTTATGTTATTTGTTCATGTAAATAGGATGAACAGTTTCTACCTTTGTTCTTTTGTTTCTACATAAAATCCAGAGATGCAATTTGTTTCATTTCAATTTCCAGATTTAAATTTATAAGTTTCCAGACTTTAATCATTTCATAGTTTCTTCTTCAATTTTAGTTATCGTTATGGGCTGCATAGTGGAAATCATTGTCTGTTATTTAACTTTTTCTGTTGTCTGCGAATTTAATCTTTATGGCATGTTATTTTTTGTTATTTACTTCATGTTATTTTAATTGCTTTAGGATATTGCATTTATTTTAGGATTTGTAGCTTTTATTACGCTTGTTTGGTTGTGAAGTCCTTGGAGGTTTCCAAGGCAATTAGTAACCCATTTTGCAGAGCTCTACCCTCTGTTTTGCAACATCGTCTGGGGCGCAATTCATTTCACAGACGTTCTTTCCAGCCATCCTATTGGAGGTCGACCGTTGGAAAGGAGAAGGGTCGTCTGGAAAATCCTATTTTCTTGTTTTTAGACAAAGCAAGTGGCACGCCTAACATCTAACTCACGTGGTAAAGGCCGGCTGAGGATTTTTGAGGAAACAGACCTTTTTAACCATATTTCAAAAGTTTCTAATTAAGGATATGACTTTTACAATTTTACTAATGAAGGATTAAGTGAATATGTGTACTGACATAGCTGCCACCACTTCGAAAAAAAGTCATATCCTTAATTAGAAAATTTTAAAAAGGTGGTACCTTGCTAAAAGACTGTTAAGAGACGATATAGGTTTAGATACTTTCATGGAATGAAATGGCGTTGATATGCATCAAAATTAGAATCAGAATGGTTGAGAAGTGCAGTCATCAATCTTAAAACTGAAGCTTTAATTTTCAAGAATCAAGGCCCAAATAAGCATGCTAAGTTTCATAGTCAATTGAATTGAATCTCACTGAAGAATTCATTGGCTTTCCTCTTTCTACCCTGCTTATCATCATCCATCATGGCTGAATCTAGTCAAAAACAAAGGAAAAATATGCAAAAAATAAAAGGTCAAGAAAAAACAACCCAACAAAGAAAGAGGAAAACCCTTTTGCAGATCCAAATAATGTGGTAGTCTGATAGACTAATAATACTGCATGGAAATACTAAAATGCTATTAAGGATAGGTAACCAACAATAATAAATCCCCATTGACCACATAGGTCAAACTAAAATGTCATAGCATAGAGCAGAAATTGATGTTTAAATTTTGATCATCAAGCAATGTAGCATGCACCTACTAAATTTAACGAAGATTGCCTTGAGAATTGAAATATAAGGATCTTTTACACATCTGTACCTGATATCCAATAGCACCCATCAGATATATGGAAATATAAGAGACTAAACAAGATGTTTAATACCTAAACTAATAAGCAGGAACTTTTACCTCTTCAACCTTGAAAATGAAAATCCTAAATCCTATTAAAGAGTCCTAAATAAAACCTAAGGTCATGTTTGGTTGAATGAAGTGGGCGTCCCTTGGTAAAGCCTTGCAGAGAGTGTAAGGCCTATGAGCAATGGCTATTCTTTAATTGCATCAATTTTGTTCCAAAAGGACAAAACAAGGTGATAATGGCTAATGACACTGTCAACCAGGTTTCAACTATTCTCTCTTAACATACTAGAAGAAAATTAGTGAAAGCAAGGAATAGTCATTCCTTCTATGTCATGCTTTAACTTTATGATTTCACCAAGGAATAGCCACTCTTCCAACCAAACAAGGCCTAAGAACATTAATTTGAAAAAACAAATTCTTGCTTCTTTTTCTTCAACCATCTTAGGAATCTTTCTCCTCAACGAAATATTTTTATCTCACTAATCATCCTTAATCAAAACAGCACAAAAAACAAGCATCTTCACTTGCACTAAACTCTAGTCGAACAGATTTTACTTTCTCATCTCTTTGCACTACCATTATATAACTGTTCCCTCAACCTCCCTAAATCTCCACCAACAGAACAGATCCACCATTTCGTACTAACATACTTTTGGTTACTTCTTTTCCCATCCAAGAAATGATTCTATTTAACTGAAAATTAAGGATTCGTCCAATAAAATTTTACCAGAAAGAAAAACCGAAAGCACTTCAAGGGACTTGATGAACTAAATTCATATAGATATTAATGTGAAATTTTTATCTTGATATTATTGATATTTAGATGAATTTTATGAGATTTTACATGATTTTCATTCTTTGTAAAGAAAAGGACTTGGTTGCATAATAATAAAAGTTTTTGAGATTAATTGAACATCTTTTGAAAGTTGAGGGACTTAATTGCAGGAAAAAAGGTGCTTCTTTAGGACCTAAGTGAATGAATCTCAAGTTTCGGGATCTAAGTGCTCATCATACAAAATATGAAAGACCATATCTGCAATTTTACCATTGATGAAGTTGCTAAGAAGCCCAAAAACCCGACACGGTGTTGTTGCTGGTGTGAACTGAACAGAAGGTGTCAGCACGTTGTTGAAAGCGTCGATCCCTAATCACAAAATCCGTATTTAATTTATGAGTGATGTTATTAGGATAGCTTTTTGTCTTTCTGTTTTTTATAAGTCTTTTATAAGTTTTATATGTTATTAAATAAGTAAATATATTTAATATA